CTGTAACAGACAGGTCGCTGTAACATACAGATCACTGTAACAGACAGATCGCTGTAACATACAGATCACTCTAACAGACAGATCGCTGTAACATACATGTCGCTCTAACAGACAGACCTCTGTAACAGACAGATCGCTATAACATACATACGTCTGTGACAGACAGATTACTGTAATATATAGGTCGCTGTAACAGACGAACCTCTGTAACATACACTAGTAAAAAAACATATTCTGATGAGCTGTTATAGAAACCAGGAAAATGAAAGGCCAACTTAAAAGGTTTGAGGGTCATAATGAAATTAGGAATAAATATTGTGATAAATGAAAGGAAGAAGGTGTTATGTTTAGGCAACGTGAAAAGTAGAATAGGTTTTAACTCAGCTAAAATAATTTTAAAAGAGTGGAACTTACTGTTGATTATAAATATAGTTTAAGTTGTAAAGTAACGGTTATTTTAATTATTATAAACACCAAACTTAAACGTAAAAAGAACAGTGGCAATTCTACAGCATACCAAACAAAGTGGTATCAATAGGGACGGAACCTAACTGTGGAGGATACCCATATTTTGATCCATTTTTCAGAAAATCTACAGAACTTTACAAATACAGTAAAATGTATCAGGGAGAAAACATAATGTCGCGGAGGGCACCCGGGGGTATCACCATGTTTGATGTGAGGGTATGCACTCCCACCAGGCCATCATATGGATGCGCCACTGTAGAAGACTCACATATAAGAAGAGAAATATAGCTAAAGGTGAAAATGCCATTCGAAACGTAGACAGAATTGTAAGCAAAAAGTGCTCATCATTATTCACGTTTATTGATTTTTTAGATGTTCTAATTTCTTTGTTCTTATGGTGATCGTTTTCCGCTACACTGTCTTTCCACGTTTCATTATGAAACGGCTTTACTCCTCACATCATGAAGTTCTTACTTCTTAGTTGGCTACTTAATTAATGGTTGCATGAGGTCCTCTCACTTCTCTAAAAATCAACCTTTAGTTATACTTGCTCTTCATCTCTTCGTGGAATCTCACATCTCCTCACTGTACTTTGAAACTTAACAAAAGTAATTCAAGATTTTTACATGTTTCTCCATGTTCATGAAAAGCCTTTCGACATTTCTAATAACTGCGTTTTTATAAGTTTTTTATCCTTTCTAGGTTCTTTCGTTAGTATTTTATAAAGTGTCTCTTTCTTTATATTTATATTCATATATTCGCGTATTAAAATCTTTAACATAAATAAAGAGAGCCGATTCTACATGGCTGGTCTAATAATTTACACTGCTGTGCTATATTAAAGCGATTAGTTACGCTTCTTCTTCACATTCAGTTCAACTTTATGTCAATTCGCGTTAGGCAAAAGATTTTATTATATTCAGAATATTTACCTAAAACATCATAAGAGAAGACGTAACAACATTGAATAATGCTTTAGTTGTATTGAACTGACAGATTAATAACGGGTAATATAGTTATACATAAATATTTAGAACAAATAAAATCAATGAATAAATATAAAAGTAACTAAAAAAACAATATCAGGTTTTGCAACCGTCACTTTTTTGTTACTAATTTGGCGTAATGATACGAGATTCACTTGTCTGCCGATTAAGGAAGAGAAAGGTTATTACTTTCGTCGCACCTTTTGCCCTTCGAACGTAATATTAAAATATCTATTATCAACTGTATTAGTTTATTTACTTTAAGACCCCATATTTAAAGTGCATATATCCTAAAACTACTAGGGAACCAGAGGCACACTGAGAATCAAACGTTTTATTCAAAATAATTTGGACGTGGCACTGGGTGTCTCAAAGAGCTGTCACAGAAAATGTTCAATATGCTTTTTGTCATTTTCAATCAGCGTATCAAACGTACGGCTAAAAGAAGCTACTGAAAGCATCATCTCTTGTGGAGAGTGTTCATTTATACTTGAGATATCCTGACCACCGGCCCATATTTGATTCAAATCCCTAATCCTCTATTGTTGAAAGACAGACAGAATAAAAATAAATGCTAGTTGGCAAGAAAAATGATTTAGCTGTGCAATATAATATGGTTTTGAAACATCTGTATTACGTACAAACATTTCTGAATAAAACTTGTGATTATCAATGTGCCTTTGGTAAGCTTTTGTTCTTCTAAGACAAGAAATATTTAAGATAAAAACCATTTTGAATATTATTTTACTAGCTTTATAAATCCTATAAATTCAGAGACATAATTAAATCTATTATAGTAGCATGTTAATCATTTGTATTGCAATATGATGTGTAAGATTATGTAAATTATTTGATGAAAATAAAATAAAATCAAAGATTTAAAATCCTGCCTCGAGACTACTTTCTCACTCTGAGCATGTGCATTTGTATTAATCTATATTTCACATTATACCCTTTGTTTATAATTGAACGTCCATTTTGTGGTTTACTAAAGACTCGTAAAACCATAGCACATAAAACATAAACATTTCTGTTTCAGAGCGCCACAGAAGGGGACATGTATAGAATTGGAAAAGAGATCAAAAGAGACCAAGAAGGGACATTAGTCAAGGATATCAAAACTGGAGCGTTTCGTACAATGCAAGAGTCGTATGCTCTTGTCTTCCCTCGATCCTTTGTAGAAGGCACACTGGTGAGCATGGGCATCAAAGACTACCACTTTGGGAGAGAACAGTTTTACATAAATTTCTTCTCTATTGCTGTTCCTAAGGGCTCTCCAATGAAAGACGCTTTTAGTAAAGTGTAAGTGGCAACATAGTATTCAACATCACAAACAAACAAAACGCATTATCACTAAAGATAATGTCGAAATCAACAGCAGATAATCAGATACCAACATAAGAAAGTCAGGTGAAACACTGCTAATAAAGTCAACAAAGCCAAAGTTAAATAAGCTAACTTAACGCCATCTACAAACTTGCCCTCACCATCAGAAATCTATAACGTTCTCTGGAATTAAACTGCATTTTTCTTAATATATGTCTTACCTGATGGTGACTGGATACTGCGAGTCGAAATGTTCTAATTATTAAAATGAGAACTTGCCTATTGTAAAAGTTGCTGTTATGGTATATTTGTATTAAACATAACCGAAGTAAGCTTATCGAACTAATTTGTGGTCAGTATTTTTTTTTCTTTTTTGTTTTCAACAAACCATGAAATTGTTAAGTGTTAAAAATGATTAGATATGTCATTTTCTTTAGGTTAAAACGACTAAACGAAATGGGGCTAATCAGCAAATGGTACAAGGATGTTTTAAGTCGGAGAGAACGACAAAAGATATTTTCAAAGATGACCAGCCATGATAATACTACCACTCCTATACCTCCACTAAACAAAGAGGAGCAAAAGGGACCACGTCCTTTACAGCTTGAAGATCTTCAGGGTGCTTATATTGTTTTCTTTGTTGGACTAATTTCAGCTCTGTTGGTGTTTTTGCTAGAGTTAAGATTGGTTCGGTATAATATTTGCAAACTGATGTTCTGTTAATTATCTTGTTGCAACATGTTAATTTATGTTTCTTTTCATGTTTGTTTGTTTTTGTTGTTGTTCATTTTCTTTTATGGGTTCAAATTTTCTTAGTGCAATGTAAACGATTTTCTTCTAATTTAATTGAAATAATCCCAGTGATAAACATGATTTTGTTACTTTGGGCTCTGAGGATTTATCACGTTAAAAAGAGGGTTTAGATACCTGTGATGGGCAGAGCACAGATAGCCCATTGTGTAACTGTGCACTTAACAACAAACAAGCAAATCATTGCATTAAGGAAATACCATAGTTCTATTAAAACTATTTAGCTGCTATTTCTGTTTGTTTTCTCGAATGAGCTGGAATGTCATTTCAGAAGAGCATGAGGGTGTTTTAATATTTTTTAGTTCTTAGCTTAAAATTCTAATAATCTCATAATGAAATAAATACGTTTTAGTTCTGTTAATTTTTCATTTAGAGTTTTTTGATATTTCACGACATAATTAAAATCAATGCATCATCTGACATTCTATTTGTAGATGGATCCATCTCTGGGAAAGTCGAATATTCTTTAATTCTCTCAGTTTTATTGTTGAAGATGGAAGCCACTTTACATAACATTTATGTCACTCTCTCAGTTTTACTGTTCAATACGAAGTCATCTGTGGAAAACATGAATGTTTTTTACTTCTCTTGGTTTTATTGTTGAATATAGAATCATCTCTGAACAACATGAAGATGTTTTTACTTCTCTTGGTTTTATTACTGAATATAGCATCATCTCTGAACCTAATGAAGGTTTTTTTTTACTTCTCTTGGTTTTATTGTTGAATGATGTTCTTTAATTCTCTTAGTTTTATTGTTGAAGATGGAAGCCACTTTACATAACATTTATGTCACTTCTCTTAGTCTTACTGTTCAATACGAAGTCATCTGTGGAAAACATGAATGTTTTTTACTTCTCTTGGTTTTATTGTTGAATATAGAATCATCTCTGAACAACATGAAGGTTTTTACTTCTCTTGGTTTTATTGTTGAATGTAGAATTATCTTTGAACAACATGAAGGGTTTTTTACTTCTCTTGGTTTTATTGTTGAATATAGAATCATCTCTGAACAACATGAA